CCCCCAGGCCATTTCCGTAACCTTGCGTATGCACGGCATCTTCTCCTTTCCACACATCATCCCCTTCCCCTCCCCTTACTTGATCTAAGCAGCCGATAACGCATCCACGCCACGTATCCAGCCAGTCCACCCAAGCACCCCCTTCCCTATGCCTTCGACCCCACGCCTAGACACACAGAAGTACGAAAATCCCCTTAAAATTCCATTTCCTTAGCTTTTTTGGATCCTGATATGAAAACCAAAGACAAAAACATTTTCTGAACACACATGCACACACAGGCAGAGTCTCTTCAACATACTTTTTAAGAAAATGTTGTAGCGCAAAACACATTACACCGGAACATACCAGGCAACAGGCTAGCCCCGCCCCTCCAGGGCTTATGATTATGAGTTTGAGGCCACTTTTCGACAGCAATTTCAAACGATCTGCCAGTGCGCTCAACTCAATTATAGCAGGGTGCCCGTTAGGCGTCCCTGCGGAACCATTCCGAAGGCGCTCCTTGAGCTTGCGAGCCGATGCATTGAAAAGGAGTGCGACAGATTCGTATATGACCGATCTGTGTCATACATCGGAAAGTTGAATGCTTGCGTTTACGCAGCAGCGAGAACTGTCGTACGACTTCTTGCAGAGGCTCAATGCGAGAGGCAACTGCCCGAAGTCAGATGGTTCAAGAAAAATAAGGCCAAGGAACGGGAATTCGCCGAGCAGCTCCGATCCATTGAGCGAGAGCTGGAGCGTAGAAGGGAGAAGAGACGACCCAGCCCCGAGGAGCTGGATAACATCCACAAAATCCGATCCGAATTAGGGCGTCGTAGTACCTCAGAGCTAAAGCGCATCGCTGAAGCCACTCGTATGAGGATTAAATTGCTGCAAGCCAGAACTGAATTAAAGGAAACGGAAATACGACAGAAAAACCTTTTCGAAAGCAGTTTGCAGCGCAAGACAGCTGACTACCTCCATATATAGGGAGAAATTGCAGTTAAGCCGCAGCAGTACTGCGTGGAGCAACACAGGCGCGTCACATCTGCTTACTCACCACTGATGGCCCTTTTACAGGCCACCTCCGGTCATACGACCGGAGGCCCTTCTACGTCCGCGAATGGCAGCCAGAATATTCGGGGATGTGAAATATGCAACAAAATTTCCAAGAAAATTCCAACTTTCTGAGTGAGTTTTAGAGCGTGGAGAAAGCTGGTGAACGTGATGGAGAACACAGCGATGCGCGCGAACAATTTCGACATTGAAAGAAAAAGCTGGTCTAGGAAGTGGAAAAAATGGGATATCCCTGTACTTAGAAAAACATTAAACCAAAGGCTAAGACAGAATGATAGCATTTCCGTTTAGTCTTATCGATCAAGCCAATAATACTGTCAGAACAGTTGCTGCAGACGGACACTGACAAGTCGTACTTTTTGCTAAAAGAGATAGAAATTCAGAAAGCAGGGATTAATCAAGCGTGGCTAAGAAAATTTCCACAATTTGTAAACTTTGTTGTGCTCTGCAGACACTACAGCCGCTGCTTATCAACTGAAAAGCTCTACATTCTCAATCAACCGCTGCTGGTGATATGAACTCTGCATCAACTGAGAGATATTAAGAATTTGTCCAGTTATTGCTCAGATTTCCATCAAATTAATGAAAATTTACAAATATCATTAAAATTGCGTAAAACTCTGCAATTCACCAGTTGTTTCCACTAAACCTTTTTGCTTGGAAGAAGCTTCCGGAAAAAAACGATAATAATAGCCGCAGCGGAAGCATGACTGCTACACCGTTTTCCTCACTGATTTGAAAGTGAGCCTCAGCATGTGGAAATTAACATACAAGAAAAACAACATGAAATGGAAGAAGCAATAAACTGCCGTAAGGAGCGAGAAGATATGAGGATATCGTGCTGGCGGCCGCACAACCAAACTGGCCAGGCACAATAACAATGATGCCAAACAACTACCGTGCACAGCCAACCGCTGAAAATAAGCGTACATTTTTTAAAAAGATTTCAAATAGCTACTGTTTGATTTACAACTGATCTTTGGCTGTATGAACTACAGAATCGCAGGAACTTTTTCGCGTGCCAAATCCAACAGAGAACGTTATTTTTGATGAAGTGCACGCACAGTTAAAATGAATTCCATTCACCAAACTTTGTGAAATTTTCCCTAACAATCAAATACCATTTCACATGAAGACGGATCTATTCAGTACCATCCCCCCAGATGAAATACTTTACGGATGCAGTATAAGGTAAGACCACTTAGAACAGGCTAGCAGTAATATAAAGTTTAGCAGGGAAACGAAATTTAGGCGTCCGAGCACAGTACATAAACAAGAACAAACTGCAGCTAACTCCTGGAATAAGTGATATAAAGAAAATGTGTGTCAGGAAGGAAGGATGGCCTGGTCATGTGGCAAGGATGACAGATAACAAACGAATGAAACAAACAGCCAGTTGGTCTCTAAAGAATAGTAGAAAAGCCATCGTTATACTGGGCCGATTCACTGATTTAAAGGTATAGAGTAACGTGGCCGCGAGAAGCACACGATCGTAATTGATGGAAAAATTACCAGCTACGTAGATGAAAGGCCCAAATATGAGCAACAGCCACTCCAGGTACCGCCTGATTTAAAACTGCCAATCATAACTTTCAGCCCTTAAATAAACTCATCCCGCACCGCAAAAACTGACATTTTGCAGTTTAATCTGGAGCGAGATACTAAATGCTTAAGAGAATCATCCAGATAACGCCTAATGAGCGCAAAAAAAAGTTACCTTGATATGTGATAAGCTTGAAAACGCCGAAGAAAGGATAAAATAATAAAACACAAATAATACCAAATGCAAGGCATTCCCATCTTTGATGCACAACGGATAAATACTAAAAAAAAAAAACCGAGAATGTCAAGATCGCACACCCATCCCGCCAAAAACGTTTAGTTACCCGTACGTGAGAAACAGGCATACGTAAGTGCTGAGTTTAAAATCATTATGTTTTAACCGGACGAGGAACGAGGGACATTCCGTTAAATTTTAGCTTTCTAGCTTTTCTGGTTCTCGAGTTAGCAATTTTCCTGTCAAAACTTTCAATGCGCGTACGTGAGTACCATGCATACCAAGAAGATGAACTCGAGATGTTTAAATTGTACGCGGCCGAGGAACATCTCCTAAAAATGTCAGCCTCCAAGCTTTCCTGGTCTCTGACTCTAGCAGTTTTCACATCAAAATTTTCACGTGTCCCTAAGTAAGACTTGGGCGTGTTAAGGGAGTGAGTTTGCTCGCACGTGTAAGGAATATTTCTTCAAAATACTAATTTTTTAGGCTTGCTAACATTTCCTTAAAATACATTCCCCCAAAGATTTATTAAATTTCACATCGAAATTTTAACGTATTCTTACGTGAGACACGGTCATGCAAGGAGGTTGAATTTGAAATCCTACATAAGCAGGTAACATCATCCCAAAGTTTTGGCTTTCTAGCTTTTCTCGTTCCCGAGTTAGCAACTTCCACGTCAAAACGTTCAGATATCCGTACTTAAGACACAGACGTGGGGTCGCATTTCATCAGGTAACATACTGACAAAATTTCAGCATTAAAGCTTGCGTGACTGCTGAGTAAAAAGCCCAGCAGACAAACACACACACATATACGCATACAGCGTTTTTGCTGCTTATTACACTGCAAGGCAAAAACGCATAAAAGCCTGCAAAACTTGAAAAGCTAAAAAGGTTGGGGAGCAAATCCAAAAAAACAAAAAATTGAGGACTTTTTTTGCTAATACCAAACGAATCGAAAGCAGCAACGTAAGGTTCTTGGTGCCATAAAAATTTGGTGCCAAACCGTTTTGTGGGAAGTACCTGGTGGTGGTGGCTGTTTTTACCACTAGGAATATTCGGAAATTCTACTCTTGTCTTCTCGTTGGAAGATGTCAACGAAAATGCTGGTTCACTAAAAGGCAATCTTCTTTTTCGATGGTAAATTTTGGATGCAGCTAGCCACTGCCAGAAAAGAAAAGAACGTTAACTGACCTTACGTTGGAAATTATCAAAAGCCAAGATACAAGAACCGGGTTCTCCTGCCACAGCAACAGAGATGGCCTAAAAAAGAAGCGTCAGAGTGAACAAAGAAAATGCTCGATTGATACGGACACTGCGAAGGGTACATTTAAGACTTACAGAGCAACAAACAGAATCGACTTTTCATGGACTTGAAATGAAAAGAGGAAGAACGATAAGCTGGAGGCCAGCAAGCTGTATTTAAAATTAAGCACTGTTGGACGATAATACAGCGATAACAAGCACGGAATGTTCGTAACCAGCACAGCCACAGCACTGAAACCACTGTTTTATTACCGATACAATAGATGAGACAGAAGTTCCGTTACGGACCAATAGTAAACTTTCTAATTTAACTGGAGCATCCAAGGAGAATTCACTGAATTGCGCTCAGTCCGGCTATTTTTGCAAAACACAAGTCAAAATCGATTAGCTGACAGTGAAGATCATGTAGCTATGTACAACAACGTAACACCCATCTGCACAGCAGGGCACGTGAGAAAACGCGAAAATTCACAAAACAAATGTGTGAGAAGCTTTCAGAACGGAAAGACTGTATAAAATTGTACTGGCAAACACCGAAGAACCCAGTTATCCCGCAGCGCACAGATGAGATAACTAAAACAGAATTATGCACAGAGGCCTTAACGCCACGCAAACGACTGCAGATAGTCCTGTCACTCTAGCAACGTTGCAAAAAGTGCTAACAAATAAATTAACAAAATCCTCTGCAACCGAGAGGCGCAGCGAAAGGTGCCAGTACGTTTCAGTAAAAAATCCAATGAAGCATCGTGGTTCAAGTCTGGCATGAGGGATATTATCAAGGGAGTGCAAAGAATTTGGCTGCTGAAATGAGAGACAACAGATGGACAAAGCCGATTGCTGAATGGTGCCTTCGCAATGTTAAATAAACACGACGGTCCCAAATGCGGTGAATAAACACTCCCGCACGGCTATATGGAATAATGTGAATAAAAGGCGCAAAATAGAGAGTAGAGAATTTGTTAACAACGCTGGTGCAGAGTGAAAAAATAGCTGATCAAAGCGTTGCAATACCTTATGCGCAATAAAAACAATATTTCGAAATTCTTTTTCAATTTGATGAGCACATTCAGCGAACACCACAAATTGGCCACTTTATCCTTGAAAAAAAAAAAAAAAAATTAACAGAGCAATTAAACATTCAATAAAAAAACAGGAAGAAAATAGCACAGCATATCAAAGCACAAAATCTGAATGAAAAAAATACCGAAGACAAACATACCTCAAATAAACCTCGGTAAAATGGAAAAATTCGGCGCAAAATTTGAAATAAATCAGATCTCGTATAAATGAATGGAAACCACAGGACAAACATTGTGCAGCTGACACAAGTGAACAAGACGAGCAACTGCCGCAACCAAGCGCAGTAACTGAAAGCAATGAAAAATATTAATTTAAATTCCCTCTTTCTGTTCCCTTTACATTAGTTTGTAATTCTTCCACAAAATCACACTTTACCCCTCAATTTGACTGGTTTCTATCTATTTCGGATGAAAACCGAATCAAGAACTACTTTAATCAAGAAACTTCTGGTCCACAATTCAGCACTGGCAGCACTTCATAACACAGGTACTAATATGCTGGCAGTACAGTGCAATGGCAAGCAGAGCTGCAATGGTGCTGAATGCTGAAGGTCGAAGGATCAACTGTGCTAGAGGGACATTCACATTCGTTTATTCGCTTCGATAATAAATTGGTAATAGCGCATGCTAATGAGTTAAAATCGGTATTTTATTGCTTTTAATCAACCTCCAAACAGCCTATGATATACTAAGGCTGCATTCGAGCGCCTCCGCCTGTTTAAAAACACCGAAGATGGACTAGCCTTGACTATGAGTAATAGTAACAAAGCCAAATTATTAGAAAAAAACTGGTAGTAATAAAGCCCAGATTACAAGAAAAAACCTTTTAATTGCACTTGAGGGAAAAAGTTCCGTATAAGTTCGCGATAACAAATAAACAGCAACAGGCAAAGCATGATAAAGCTCAATTTGCTTGTAATGTACAGCCAAAACAAAAAATACCGAGCCAAGTTTGAGAAAATTTGAAACGAAGCAGGTGAACGAGAACAAGAATAAGCCTAAGGACAGATGATTGTACCTGCAAAAGATTACAAAATTTGCATCACTCAGCACCAACTGAGTTTCGTCCTTCATTTTCAGTCAGAAAAAACCGGCAATAATAATAAAAGAAAATAAAGGTGGCTTGCTAAATCAGAGTTTATAAATCAAATCTGTTCAGTGACCGATCAATGAATAAGGAGCACTTACTGGAAGTGACCACTGTCCACACTGATTAGTCCGGGATAAAGCAACGCAACCGCA